GGCCAGCCGATGTACAAGTCAGTGATTTGATCCTCCCAGACGAGTCTGAAACCAATAAACCGACCGCGGAGAGATGGAAAGCTTGGTGGGCCTAGGCGGATACCGATCCGGGATTCGAACCCCTAACCGTACTTGTGAGTTAGTGTGCCACTTGCCGCTACGTCAGCCCCGCCCTACTGGTTGACATATTTGTATGAAAAAGAACATTATGAGTGTACGCCAAGGCCACGAAGATGCTCGAGGACAGAATACTGCGAGAATTTCACTGGTGACGTGTAAGGTTAGAAATAGGAATCTACTGGTACTGATTATATTAGTCTTACTAACAGATACGGATCACGTTCTAAGATCATCGGCAGGGAACTATGACCCCCCTTCTTTCTATCGTAGGACGGACCTCACCTGTATCCTATTCAATCACAACAACCAATTTTACCTTAAGCATCACGTCAGGCATCACAAAACACTCTGCAGGTTGTTTTTAATTACATCTCCAATGCTTTATTTTCTATCATTGAATTCAAGCAAATTTTTGAATGCACATGTTTATGACGGCTACGCACCCAAAAAAAACTCCTTGCTCTTAAGTATTTCGCTCTTGATGCGTCGTTTCCATAAACCTAGGCGGGACTTTGGGCGAAGTAGCCAAACGAAGTAGAGACATGGCGCGTGAGAATGTTTCTACGTTCTTCGTGAGTAAGACTGTATATAAGCGGTTGTGGACACGTGATGCACCACATAGCGTGCGCAGCCCTACTGGCAAAACGATAATGAGAGATCCCACCCGGTATCGCTGAGGCTTTAGATTATGAATTCGAACACCACAGCACGTTTTCAGACCATTCAGACCTAGGTTTATTGAAGTCACCAATCAGACACAACTAAGTGATTACATAAATAATCCTGCCTTATTACTCTACAATTTTTCATCTACCATTTTTAAAGAGGATTTTAAAAGGACCATTCGTATAACCTGCTGCGAGAACGTCAAAATACTTATTAGCCGTGCACGTTCTCATCCACA